AATGATTCCTTAAAATAAAAAATACTCAAGAAACATTGTAACAATCGGATTATAAAAAACCAAAGCCATTTGAGAAATAGCTAAAGAGCAAGAAGATTAATCAATGGTTTGCAAAAAATTTGACTATTATTCGATTCAGAGCGGTGCTAGCTTGAAATATTTTAATGCTAATGAGTTGGTGTACTAAAGATGGCCGACCACAGTGATGAAAAATAAAATTTTATTGTTCTGTTTTATCGAGTTTCACGGGAATGCAGCGAGGTCTAACGATAAGCATACATAAAATTTATTCAATATTTATTGAATTCAAGACGTCTTCTTTTTCCGACATTTTCGAATTAGGTTCAAAATACGATTACTTGATGTGTAATAAGTATTTTTTGCAAAATTTTATTATTCGAAAGAAGCAAACAATTTTTCATCGTCGTCGAGGATTATTTTCTTGTTAGCGTATGAAATGAAAAGTATTGGACAGAAAAACTATGAACAATTAGATTTCATATTTGCTGTGGTCATTGAAATTTTCACAACTACCAAAAAGGCTAGTTCAACTATAATTTCAGTGCTTCTCATCAGTCAGCTTTATCACCTTTTACCTATCCCTTTTTTCTGATATAATATCAGACACAGATTATATTACAACAACACTGTGCAGTTAATGCTGATGTTTTCATTCTCTCACAAAATGAATTTATATGAAATGATAGTGAAATCACTTGAAATCACCTGAATCACTGGAATTAATTAATATCAATAAAGGTAAGCAAAATAACATTTCAGCATCACAAATAAAGACATCAATATAATAAGATAACAATTAATTAATCTAAGCCCTCAGTCTCACAAATCTCTCTACCACTAAACTGCTAAGGATTAGTTTAAAAAAGAAATAACGAAATGTTGGGAAAAAAGGAACAAAATTGAATAATCTATCTCTCTCTCTCTCTCTCTCTCTCTCTCTCTCTCTCTCTATCTCTCTCTCTCTATCTCCACACACAATATATCGTCTCCATGTTGTTATGTCCCAATTGGGATGAAAGTTTTGGAGAAGTGATGGAACTATGGAAAGTTAAAGGGTAGCTCATATCTATCCCTTCTTTGTTTATCTATCTAATATCTGTATATATATATATGTGTGTATGCGTGTATGTGTGTGTGTGTGTGCATGTGTGCGCGCGTGTGTTGTGCAAACGTAGGAATTGTTTCCACATTAGCTGGGCGAGCATTATAACTACTACTGCTATCAGTTATCACTATCAGTGCCAAAGCAGTGAAAGTTCAACTCAGTGTGGAAAAACCATAATGAGATGATGGAAGAAAATGTTTAGCAGATTTGGATGACACAAAGAGAAAGTGGTGAGAAATGTTAATTGCCGAAGGGATAAAGTGATTTGAGAAGTAACTCGACGGTACGATGTACGGAAAGATGAAATGGTAAGCATCCAAGTGAACTCTCATTATACTTACTCTCTCCTACTTTCTTTCAAAAGTTAACTGGCCAATAGCACAGGAAGCTTCTCAGGCTGTCCTACTCACTGCTATTCTACAATGTCACCCACGTTATTGCTATCTTCAAAATGTTCATTGAACTGCTGTCAATGAACAAATGTACAGCTCATGGCAGCACTTCAAGAAATAATAATCCACACTTTATTCTGCTTTTTAGGTTTGTTCCAAACAAAATTTTTTCGTCACGTTGCAAAGTAATTCGCGTTGAATTTATTCATTCTAAATGACCTTTTCTGCATTTCATTCATGAACTATTATTTTTTATCAAAAACTTTTATCAAATATTTTTAATATTAAAACGGTAACAACATTTTAAAAATAAATGAAAAAATGTGAAAAAATTCGTCTTAAAAATATTTTGGAATAGTAAGTTGTGTTGTGATACTTTCATGTCTTCGATAATGAAATTGAAAAATATTTGTGGAAATCTCTTTGTCATTTTGTTTGGGAAAAATTTCGAGTCGAATTGTTGTTCGAGATTTTGAACAAGAAATCATCCCTTTATAAAAAAGGTCCTTCTTAGAAATTTGACCTCGATGAGGTATACAAAAGGCATAGCTATGTCAATACATCGTGACAGTCTATGATAACTTCGAGGAAGCCAAAAAAATTAAGGTTAAATATTGGATCACTTGACTTTCAGAGAGTTAAGTTGTGCATTAAGTTAGAAGAAAGAGTAATAATCTGAAATTTTAATTTTACAATTTATTCAAAGCGTTTACGCACTTATATTCAATGAACAACAATACTGTCACGTACAAAAAAATCTCAATTCTATTACCTGACGTAACTGCTTGAAGTGTTTCAGCCTTCTTTTTCCTCCTCCTCTCCTCATTTCCACTAATTTTACTACTTTCAAAAACTTCAAAAAAAACTATGAAACTTTCAGGAAAAATCCGAAAATTTTTCACAAATAATTTTAAAACGATTTAATGCAAAATATTTTTCAATTTCTTAGGAAAATTGAAGCGGAACTGTTACAGTAAGCAAAAATTTGACAAAGTCTGTCTCGGTTGAAGAAAAATTGATTTTTATTTTTCTTTCATTGAAGAAATATTTTTAGTTAAGTAAAAATCTGTGATGCCCCATAAGTGTAGTTTAAAAATGGATAGAAAAAAGAGTTGCATCATTTATTTAAAATGCAATTAAGTCTTCCAATCTCAATGTTTTTTACATGATTGATTCCAAATAGGTCACGACCCCATTGAATGCTCAGTACTTAAAGGAAACTTTTCCATCATTTAAGTTTGCTCTACATCTTAAAAAAACTTTTCTGTTCATACTCAAAAGAAGCGCTGTAAAATTTAGACCAAGAAATCCCGAATATATACTGTGTAGTCCGGTCTAATCTCATTTCGAAAAATCTTTTTTTTGACAAAATTATTATCTGAAACTGAATGAATCAATTTTAATCCCGTTTGATATTCATTACTTCGTTATGTCATCTATCAGTTCAATTGATATTAATATTTTAGCCCAGTCATTAAAGTGCCATACCTGTAATTATAGAACGTTCGTAGGTTAACTGAAATTTTCACCACAACTTTTAGCTTGAATTTTTACTTTTACCTAACCGAAACTGATATATATGACTGTTATAATTGAATATTAAAATCCTTGAACGAAAAACAATTAATTCCTCTCCTCTCAGAAAAATTAACTCGGACTTATACTTTTGTTAACACAAAATGATTCATTCCATTAGTGAAATGATTCCATAGAGAAAGAAAGATCTCTCACTGGTGAACACTGAAAAGATAAACAAAAATACCAGGGAGGACGGAATTGATCGCTGCACCGTGATTCCCGGGAATGATACCACCGATAGAGAAGCCAACACGTTCCACTTCGTCTCTCAGCACAATTACCACCTTCTCCTCACAGTAATACTTCCGAGTCTATGAAATTAAGTTGAAATCAGTCTAAAGTGTAATTCGATATCACACATTTCATTCATCCTAAATATCCCTCTCGCTCTGCACTTATCACTTCTTTTATCAAAATATCATGTGCGGCTCAATGAATGAGAGATACATACCTGCCAAACATCATTCGGTTGACTTTGAAATGTAGTAGTGAGGTTTTGCAAACGATTGATGGAACACTGACAGTAGCAATTCTGGTAGACGCTTGAATCGGGTCGGTATGCGTCTGATTCACGTGAAAGTGGTGATTTCATCTTCGGTGTCGATATGTCGCGTTTCAAAAAACTGTTATGACTGAAAAGTGAAGTGAATTTATATGAGCGAGGAAAGAAAATAAAAAGGAAAAATGGATTGATTAGGAAAACCTGCTTCTCTAAATAAACTCATCGCATTTGTCCATCTAAATCAGTTAGGAAGAAACGATCATTGCTTCCCTCCCAGAAGGTGGCGATGGATCTGTTTGGTAATCATTACTATGAACATACCGGCACCGATCCACCTGCACATCATCGTAACAACGGTGAGCACATAACCGACTGTTTTCTCGACTATCATACAACGACGAGATAGACTGAAATCTCCATGTCATTAACAATTATTTCAAGAAAAAGAGATGAATACGAACTTAAAACATGTATGAAGGAAAAAATTTTCTGAAGTATTCAGGTACAGAATTTATTTAACAAAATTTCCACGCTTATAAAATTATATGCAAAATTTGAGCATGAAGTGGATGAGAATAAATGCACGTTGCATAATATTATGTCAAAAAGTATACCATTACGTATTTTGATTCCCATTTGATTCTTAGAGAAGTGATTAAAGAGGAATGAAATGATTGAAATTTACCAAATTTTCGACATCTCCTTTAGCTATTGTATAATAATAGATCGGTTCATCGGTAGGCTTAAAAGCCAATGAATTAGTGAAAGCGGTATGGGAATTTGATGACTGAAGCAGATCAGATGAATGTACAGGCAATGATGGTTGTTCCGGTGAATAGGCCATCATCATCTGCTCTTCTTTTATCTGAAAATGTTTTGATGACCTCTGCTAATTCACCTCATCGGATCAAAAAATTTTCTACTATCACATCACATCATACCGATACATTTCCGATATCTCTATTTAGAACGGCAGATTTCAAATTTGTTGAAGAATTAATTGGCAGGGAGGATATCAAGAAAAGTATAACGATAAGTAAATTGTACAGTATGATAAATGGGTGAGCTATCAAACACGTAATGTTGAATACATTTCTTTAATTTGGCCTTTAAATATACCTTCAATTTTCAATTTTCCAAATTTTACGATATAATTTACAGAAATATTTTTATACAAACACAGACAATAAAAAAAATTGTTGGATGATTGGAAGAAATTTAAATAGCGAATTTCATAATAAAATGTTCTTTTTTTCTTTCTCCCTAAGAATGAAAGTTGACGCAAAAATCGACCTGATTCCTTTCTTCTCCTAAAATGCATGTTTGTAGTAACAGAAAAATGACATACAAAAAATAATATCGCCGAATTTTATTTGACAATCATTCAATGTTTTCAAGAGTGACCTTGATGGAATGGGTGGTTTGGGGAGAAATGATGTGATTGATATTGCTGAAACGAACGGATCAGGAAAGTAAAAACCGACATTACTTTGATTTGTCTATACTTTTCTCTTATAATACAAGTACAGTTCCTTAACAGTTTTATTCTTACTTTCCATCTATTTCGTCCCTTTGAATCTGAAGTGTGACTTTACATCTTTTCAAACTGTCACCTAATGTCCCTAATTCCATATCAGATGATAGCTTATCAGATAAAACATATTAAACGGATGTTTTTTATGTGCATATTCGACAAGATATGTGAAAGCACGCTAATATGCTGGTATTTTAACGTTTTAAAACACATGAGTTGTCATGATTAATAAGAAATGAAAATAATAATACGAAAATTGCAATATGAAAATAAGCCATAAATTTTCTGAACGATATTTTTCAGCAGAATGTATCGAGCTTTTCTGCTTGCAGTGTGTCAACAGAAGAATTTTCGAAAAGATATAAGAATGTGTTTTCTTAAAGTAAGGACATTTATATTGTGTCATAAAACTATATTTAATGTTAACTGATATGAAATATAATTCTATAAAAGCTAATGGAAAAGCCAGCGAAAGCCATCCATATTTATCATCCATTTTATAAAACAAACAAATGAAAGAAAGAAAAGTCCAAAGCTAACCGCTATTATGAATTCGTTTTGCAGATTTTTTCACATTAAAACCTTGAAAAAAGAAGGTTATAAACGAATTCATTCACTTTTCAAGTATCCCTGTTGTATCATCGAGATCTCAGTGAATGCTTTTGTCATCATTTTTTATTGCTACTCCTGCTTTTGGGTGATAATAAGCTTGCGGAAACCGAAGTATTATTAAACTGAAAGAGTAATAGCTATTGCAGGTAATTATATATGAACAGAGTATTAAACCTGAATATGCAAAGTAGTTTCAGGATATTAAATTAAATATTGTGAATGCTTTTTCAGCTGAGACAGAAGAGAGTTGGAAAACAGTAGCAAAATACTAAAATGGTGATTGAGCTGATAAATATTGCACAAAATGCAAGCAATGCTTGCTTAATCATTGCATGTCAAGTAGTATGAGAATAAAAATTGCAGGTGAGAAAAAAGCGTGGGGAAGAATGAAACATAAATGAAATTTATAATTAGTGAAAGTTTGAAAAGAGAATTCAGTAGGGTAGTTGACGGATACCAGAAGAAGGATATTGACTGTATAATATTTATATTCCAACTTTATTAGTTTTTTTTTCACAATTAATCACAGTTACAATATTTTTCCCATAAAAATTTGTTTGCCGAAATAAGTCAGTCCGTAATTCACAAAAGTAACTAATTTGGTCTCACGGCACTGATTTCATAATTTGCGATTTAATAATTGATAATTAATTAATAATCATAATAATGAATTGGTACGGGAGAACAACAGTAATAATAAGATTTTATTATGCTAATAAAATTGGGAAGCAATCAAAAAATTTTAAATGTGATATGTTCTATTTATTCAAAAAGCTTAGTGGTCAAATTTTATATTTTTTGTGATAATAGCAATAGTAATAAAGTGATAATGTAAAACTGATAGCGATAATAACAATGGTGATAATAAAATAATAATAATATTCTCACAGCCATTTCTGAAAATGCCACGCTTTTATCGTTTGAAAGTTATTTCAATAAACCAAATCATCCATTAATCTTTATCTTTGAATTATAGGGAATAATGTAACTGCGACGGATACTATTCTTTGAACTGTGCTTTCTATGATTTATGTCGTCAGAATCTTTGTTACGCCTTCTTCACGTACCCATCTTATTTAGAATGTATCCACATTGTGTTAAAGTGCCGAGTGGAGATGCCGAGAATTTTTATTCTGATGGAATATACTGCAAATCGATTATGACCACTTTGACATAACTTTAGTTATTTAAACAGACGAAATGAAATATTGTCATTTTTCCAGCTATAATTTCAGTGTGCAAAAAGATTGCGAAAGCATTTCTTAATAAATATCGCGGTGATTCATTTGTATCATTATCATATGCAGCGGATATTGATTTGTCATTAAAGGTCATTCAGACAGCAACTGTTAGTGTAAAGAATGAATGCGAACAGATAATGATAAGCGCTATCTCGTAGTGATCATATTTCTTTTCTCAGTTAAATCTTATGATTTGAAGGGAATAAATAATGGATATTTCGTTGGAATAGGTGAATAAAACAAACAATTCTCTCTGAAACACTGATTCAGTAAAGTTTCCAGAAAAATTTTCATAATAATTGGAAAAAATGCACTTTTTAAATATGATTTTTACTGCGACAATAATGAATCAAATTGATATAAGCGCATAATTATGCCAAAGGAATTTAATGAAATGTCAAAAAGAAAAAACCAAATTGAATTAAATTTATTGAGAATTTTTGTTTTTGGTAAAAAAGAACTACTTATTTGATCTATTTTTTCTTCTAAGATTTGGTGTGAGGTCTTTCCGGAAGTGAAGCAGTACGATTGAAATCAGGCCGGGAAAGAAGAGGCGATTGGAGCGGGACGCGTTCCAAATTGTGATAGAATTGAGCGATATTGAAAAACGAATAATTAAAGAGGGAAAAAGAAAAGATTCTGCCCACACAGTTACTGACATCTCCGAACAACCCGAGAATCCGTAATCACTTTGCCGACAGGTATTAATTATGTGATCATACTGGCAAAAATGATCGTCCTCATATTGAAAATTTTTCTATGTATCCGTCGAAAATAATTTGAAATTACTGCGAATCGTGCTTCAACAAATTATGAAATAATCTAAAAATAAATGAGAATGCACAACAAAGGTGACATTGGACATAAATGAGGACACTCTTAATTTCTGATAGCTCTTTATTTAAATATTCTTTAATTTAAGCTATAATTAGCGAGAACTTAATTGAAATTTATTCGCATACATGTATATGAACCACCTCTTAAGTTGAAGTGCAAAAAATAAAATCTGAAATGTGCTGTAGGATGATGAATGGCATTTGAATAACAAATTTAAAAGTCTTATTGATTGGTCAACGCTAACTAACCACAACTTTTTGTTTACACAGTTTATTGACATAAGTTAACAGAGAATTATAATAAATTTTGAAAATAGTTTAAATTTGTAATGATCAAATTGATCAACCTATTTATATGCATTTCGTTATATTTTGCATTAATTAACATTGCATTAGTTTTGTGATCTTTCATAAGCTGGCAAAACAAATTATAGTCTAATTCACTTGCGAAATAAGCAATATTTATTTTAGAAAACAAAGATAATAAATCGAAAATTTAAATGAAGTTTGCAACTACTTTTAATTTTAAATTCATCCAATTCATCTAATTGTGCGAACAGCTAAGCATAAAAGTTAGATCAGAAGTGTTCGAGGTTAAATATTTTTATTGAAAGATATAGCATTGTTGTCAAGAAATGAAACTAAATTTTTGAGAAGTGAATCGAACGTTCGAGAATAAAATGTGTTTCCATGATATTTCATCAGCGATATGCAAGAGACCGGTCACATTTAGTGTCTCATCGGAGGTATCAATGATAAGTGGATTTAATCAACATTGACAGGAAAGATTATATTTCCCTTTGAAAATGTTCCTGTATTAATAGAAAGATTTTCTTATTTTTAGAATATTTAATGCAGAAGCAAAAACTGTTAACTGTTCAAAAATACTAATTTAAAAAAAGTCAAATAAAAAAACGCTAATAATGTTAATTTTTGCATGCAACATCAAGAATACATCAAATGATAAAATGATCGTTGATTCACTAATTTGCCAGGATATCGTAGTGCAGTTTATGTAAGATTCAATCAGCATAATCATTCAAACTGAGAAGGATTCCAACATCTCGAATATTATTCTGATGTGATAAATGATAAAATGCGAGATCAATAAAATAGTATTAAACGATAAGTAACATCTTACATGTCAAGCACTCTTATTTTCGTATATTACATTTGTGTAAGAAAATAATTCGAAAGGAATTTATAACCAATCTGTAAAACCGAAAAAATACAACTTGTATAGTTTTAAAGGGAAAAATATGCCTAAATGAGCATTATTACAGCAGATAAGGTCATCAAAGATTAATTAGGAACGAAAAAAGTTTAGATTATTGGAGAAGACAAAAGGACACTCTAGAAGAGTGCTAAATCAAATGGAGTTTGTATATATATATATATGTATATATGAGTGTGTACCTACTTAAAGTAATTCCGAAAGCGAAAATGAATATTGTAGAAATGGAAATTCAATTTGAAAATATTTTGCGCTAAAATCCCTTCTCATTTTTTGGAAGAGAAGAATTTTTGTCAAACATTCATTAATAAAAAATAAAAAGGACAAGCTGCCTATCAGAAAATATTGCGTAATATTTGAAATAGAATAAAATAAATTTATGGATTAAAATTTTGAATATTTGACAAGTAAAATTCACAATTTGTTTTTCATCTCTACTGAGCACTTAAAATATTTGTGCTAAATCTTATATAAAATTTTCATGTATAGCTATGATTTCGACCAGTAATTTCTATTTTTTTAACTTTTCATTTTGATAAGTCGGCTTAATTTCACACATTATTTTTCGCTCCAATTTTTTTCAATCTCTGTTTTGTCTTTTCATTTGTTGCCCTTTCTGGTCATATTTTCTCATTACAGAAGAAAATTTATTATGTGGTATTGAAACGATTTTTCGAATAATTAACAGAGAGAAATCCTTTGTGATATATTTCTTTCACTTCAAAATTGAGCGATAATCAGAAATTTTGAAGATCGCTTACAAGTAAATATTTGATTGATACTCAAACTTCAATTAGTTATGATTTAACTTTAGTACAAATGAAACAAATAATTTTCTCTCGCAGTAATTTCAGCAGAGCTTATGCGATGACAATACTATAACCTCCAGTTGTACCAACTATTAATTAATTAGACAAGGATTGTGGTACGAGACAGATTCAGTGCCATCGTTTTGCAGATTAAATATATATCATTAATGTTTTAAAAGGAAAGTTTCAGTCTTTGCATAAAATTTTTATCTGTGAGAAAACGATGCTGTAGTCAAAAATTACAATATAATTAATGGTATTTTACAAAAGTTAAATTTAGTGCATTTTTTTTAGAAATTTTGATTCTGAAAAAATATATTTCCCGAACAATTTATATTTTTTATCGAGCCCAACATTATGAATTATTTTCTTGGAAATCTTTAGCTGAATTTTTTCTTTTGATTACATTTTCCTTAAAAAACTGGGAAAATAAATGCGACAAGAGAAAAGGAAGTAAAAATTGAAATATATAAAGCAAGATTTCAATGATCATTTTAATTGGTAATAAAATGGAGCAAAAATCTGTGTACCAGTTAATTTCAACACAATATTCAATTAGCAATGATTTCATTGAGCAGTTATCCCGAAAAGTTCCCACGTCTCATTAAAAAGCAAGCAGAACGAGGAAATTCAGGTATGCAATCAATGTGAATGAGGCTTTTTACTTATATCGATGAGTGTTCGGGAAGGCTTTCTTTTTCTTGAATTTGAAGTAAATCGGAATTGACACACGCACTGAACACAATGTCGCAGCAATCGCTTAGCTTTGTGATCTCTTTTTCGTTTAGGATTACATAAATTAATTACAACTTTTTTTGACGTCCTTCTTGAGTCGCCTACACTTAGGTGACTCTTCTGTTTCCACTTTTTCATTTGCTTCATAATCAGTTAATAAAAGATCATTTGCGAAGTAAAATACAGCAATGTCAGGAATTGATGACACCAATCTGTAACAAGTAATCGTAAATATCTCATGCGTTAAGTAATTATAAATGCGTCATACGTTACATGATAATACATTACAAGGCATAATAATATAATCATTTCACAAGATATGCGACGAGATATTTTGAAAAAATATTAAATTTCATTCCCATTTTAAATATATCATATTATTACTGTAAAAATTCCTTCAATAGGAAGGTGTCATTACCTATAAAAGAGTGTTTTTATTAAAGTTTATCAAATGACAAAGTACTGAAAATTGATCTCGGAATTAATTTAAAAAATAGCATACCTCATTATGCCATAAGTTAAATGAGTCATAAGACGCAATTTATCAGTGTCATATAATTGACAAGCACCCCGCGATCTTTTTAAGCATACAGTATTCCACATGACACATGCTTTATCGATGATCCAACCCCAGAAAACGGATGATGGCAGTGTTGCTATAAGAGAAATTACCAAAGTATACTTGTAAAGTAAAAATTGTGATTATTGCTATTAATTTTAACTTTATAAAAACGGATTTTTACTTTTTCTGAAAAAATACACTTCTCCAAGAGGTTTCATTGAGTTTAATACTGAAAATGCTTATTTCATTTGTATCAATCTGAAAACAACACCGCAATAAATAAAATTAGCTTTGAATCTCAATAAGAGCTGGCAATGAACAAACCGGTTAAGCTGACAAGAAATCCTTGGAAGCCAAGAGAAATGCTCCGATCCACCGGTGGTACCGATCTTAACAATCTCATATTGGATGCGTAAATAGTTTGTTGATTTAATGGAGCCGAGAAATATCGGTGAAATCATGTGTTAAATGCTGTCAATCACCGGGCAGTTTAAAGAAGGTATAAAGAAGCTTAATCGATAAGTTTGTTTATAGGCTCCCTTCGCAGAAGGAGATTTAGAACTGGTTTTAGCAAAAAATATGCTAATGTAGTATAGTTGAGCAGGGTAGAATGCACTGATCTCAACATCAAAAATCTTCCGGTTAATTAAAAAAACAGCATTCAAACGAAGTATGTGAGAAGCATAATGCCTCACCTGAGGACTATTAGCACCGCTGGAATGATGCCCATTCCACCAAAGATACCCGAAAATGCCAAGTTCACAAAGTACCAAGCAAATTTTCTCTCACAAATGGTCTGATCACAGAAGTCACGTGAGACTTCATTATCCGTATTGTTTGAGCAGCTACAATTTTGGAAGATCTAAAACGTTGGAAGTTGCAAACGTGCATTCATGCATATACTATAAATTAGATGCGAGTTTTACATGAGAAATCATTTATAATGTTTAAATTTCTATTAAAATTTGTTTGATTAGAAAAGAAGATAATAATAACAGTATACTACCGGAGATTTTATACTTTGAGTGTGTTGTGACGTTCAGTCAATTATGAATTACATTTGAATTTCTCTCAAATTCAAGCGAACACAAAGATTAAAGTATATTCAGTACGAGCTTGTCGATTTAACAAAAACTAACTTTGACAGTTGACGGATTGGAAAAACTTTGGTCCAAGGAACAGCCAGCATGACAAGGCGAGTAAAATGTTTGGCCTTGTCGATTGCAGACCGGATATAATGGCGCACCGATGCAATTGCAATCGCTGTTACATGTTGTTGTAAAATTTTGATCGGTCAATCTGAATGAATAGAATGAATAAAATAATCAACCTTTTTTATTTTTGATGAAATAAAACATTTAAAGTCCTTGTTTAAATATACCGAAAACTCTCAATTTTACAAACAAAAAAGAAATGGAACATATTGGAAATGAAATTGCGTAAAATTCAAAGATTAAACACTTTTTACTTAGCCTTATCACTAATTAAGCTAAGCACTGATTTGCAACCAATCATTGCATTGTGGAGTGAAAATAAAGCAGCAATCAGTGAGCACACAAAAATATATGCTGCTGCTTTCCGACCTGAAAACAATAATTAATGTAAATATTGATTTTAATACTTAATTCTAATGATTAAACATTTCTAATGATTCAAAGTATCAGTACTCGAAAATTTTCCACTATTAGAAGTGAAATTAAATGACAGCTACTGTTTTACTGAACAAAATTCAAATACTACTATTAATTGTGCATTGAAGGCTTCTTTTTTACCTTGCAATCTGAATTTTCGCATAATTAAACCACCGATAAATAAACCAATAGCAAGTCCTGGCAAACTCACTAATCCTGAATAAATCCAAAATAACTGTGATGGTAAGATAAACAGCTCGTTAGTTACCTATTCTTTCATTGATTTCCTTTCCGTAAGCTCAATTATCAAAGCATAATTTCCAAAGTTCCAAGCACAAAATACCATTCAACTTAAATTTATGGATGAAAATGACTGCAAAGTAAGCAAAAAAAGAACAGTCCTCCAACATACGAAACAAACCCAAAAAAAGGTTAATTTTATGTTGCGGTAAGCCGAACTGCACTGCTAAATATTTGGGAAGAAAGATGAAAAACCCTTTGAATGCAAAAACATCCATTATACGACCAATCATTGAGAAAACATAAATCGGTGATTTCACGATCGTTTGTACGGTGGAAATAAAATCTGAAAAAATCGAGCGGATTCAAATGAAGAAAAAAAGTTCGTTATTTCGACTTTCGCATTCGCATTCGATGACTGTTTGCCCAAAAATTGGATCAGACCAGAGTGTACTGTGTCACTCACAGCTATAAAACTATTCCCTCTGAATTCTCGTCTTCATCCGACGATTCATCTATCTTACTGCGATGTGAAGTGATATTGATAAAGCAATGCTAGCAATCTGTCCTG